AGGTGGCTGCGATCTCTCCCCGCAGAATGGCGACATCCGGCGCCGACCTACACGGAGTTTTCCCAAACCAGGTATCTCCTAATAGTGGGGTACCGCCCCGGCCAGGACAAGCTCTAAGCTCCCGACTGGTCTCCCGGCATGTGTGGTAAGGTAGTGCATGTAAGTGTAAGTGTGTGTAAGTAAGAGGTGACGATAGGAAATGGAAGAGGAAAGAAAGAACGCGCGGGGTTCCTTGCTCGTTTGTTACAGTTCTACTTACCCGGCATTCACCTGCTGTTAACAGGAGAAACCACGGAAAACTACCTATCAGAGCAGCCTCTCGTTATAATTCTTCTCCATACAGATTCTGAATTAGGCCTAGCTGTGTAGCTAATGTTGAAAATCCTGCCACCGTCAAAAATCCAACCCTAGGGCCTTCCAGTTAGGGGCTCTGTGGTAGTCAATTAATGCTCTAAGCCACCTAAGCCGATTTGTGATTGAAGAGACGGGTTTTCATGGGATACTAATTTTTCAATCCATTTGAAGAAAATGGAAAAGAAAAGAAACAAGAAACTTTAGAAATCTGGATGAGGCAGAGAGAGTTAAAAATAAAGTAAAAAGAATAAGAAGGAACATTTTTAATTTTAAAGTGGTATGATAAAAAATGAATAGCACAGGTTTGAGAAGAAAGAAAGGACTATCTTCTTCTCGAGTACTAATGGCTAATATCTCTTAATACTCTAACGACCAGAAAAAGAAACAATTTGGCCGATCCAGGTGGCCAGAATCGCTAAGGCAATAGTGCATGGCGATCTCGGGCCAGAGGATCGCAGGTTCGAGTCCCGGCTCGGGCATGGCTGTATTTGTGGTCGTCCTTTCACCTCTCATCACCATATCACTTCATTCAGTATACATATACCCCTAACATTATAACAATAGTGGTCACTACTGACCTCGTAGTTAATGCGACCTTAAATAAACAAAAAACCCAACTATTTTAATGCAACCCTAAGACCCGAGAGAAGGAGCTTTTTTCTTAAACTATCATCCTTTAACGTCTCTTTCAATTGTTCAAACCGCAACTGGGTGCTTATTTTCCCTGACACGTGATTAATATCATCCTCTGGCAACAGCCAGGAAGTGAGCAAACACTGGCTTTTCACACTGGTTTGGCGGAAGTCCGGTGGAAGCAGCACGCAGAATTGATAAGATTCTCTCTTATCGCACCGCAAATTGAAGAAATTCTAAAGGAACAATATGACTGTAACAACTCTTATAGCTCAGCTTGTGGGTCAATGACGCCCATCCCGTCCAGGGTTTTCGTTTTCGATTGATGTTTGCGGGCGCGTCAAAGACTAAGATCATTTGTCCCGTAAGTGTTGTACATGTTATTTTCTCGGGAGGTAGGTGTGATCTTCCCCACTGGATGATGTAATCCGGCAATGACCTTCCCTTCGGCTAGCGGGGTTTTCCTCAACCAGGTATCTCCCACTAGCGGGGCACCACCCAGCCGGTGCAAGCTCTTGGCTCCTGAACGGTCTCCCGACATGTGTGGCAGTGAAGGTGTGTAAGTGTAAGTGTGTGTAAGAAAGGGTGAGGATAAGACAAGGAAGATAAAGGAAATATCTTGCGCGGTCTGTGGCCCGTTTGTTACGGTACTGTTCCGGCATTCGCCTGGTGTTCATCGGAGAAACCATTGAAAACTATCGATCAGAGCAGCCGGCCGAAAAAATTCTACTCTACACAGCTTCTGAATTCGATGTAGCCATCTAGCTAGCGTCGAAAATCCTGGCAACATCGAAACTCGAATCTAGGACCTTCTGGTCAGAAGCACTGTAGTGACATCAGTTGATGACCAAGCGACCTCTCTGGTGGGTTTTTCGTCCAGTTCCCCTGATCCTTTCAGCAAATGCTGAGATGGCTCCTTGTTTTGCTTCTGGATATAAAATGTAGCTTTACTTTCAGTGTATATTTTCTTTTATTCAATTGGGAATGTAGTTATTCAAATAATCGTTCTCCGTGTTCTCGCGGTAGTAAGTCGATTCCTTCACGAAGATAACGATGATAATAATAATAATAATAATAATAATAATAATAATAATAAAATTACAAATAATAATAATTAATAAAAAATAATAGCATCTTTCGAGCTGATTTGACTTTTCATATAGATCACGTGTAAGCGAAAATTTTCGTACCAATTCTTGAACAAATCGCACTTACTACCTGTAATCCTAAATCAACTCACATGTATGTATGTATGTATGTATGTATGTATGTATGTATGTATGTATGTATGTATGGCCTAGGTGGCTAAGAGCGTGTACCGACTCAGCACTTCGGTCCGAAGGGTCGCGGATTCGAGCCCCGCCTTGGGCATGGTTGTTTGTCTGTGTCTAGTGTATGATCGAATTTGCGTTCCATCGGGACGTAAAGAATATCCGGCTGTCGCCTACTATATATTTATATATTTATATATTACGATAGAGATTCCAAAACTCAATAAACCGTACCCTTATTGCACTTCTCCCCATAGTACGTCACAAAGTTTTTAAATTGTTTTGACGTTAAATAAATAAGCATTTAATACAATTTGTTTATTTCATTGAAACTAGTTCATGCAATTTACTTCTTTCCTCCTCGTAACATGCACGAGTCACCACTGGCAGGTGGACAGTTCTCGTATAGTACGTTATGATGTTTGCAACTTGTCGACGCGCATACGTCACAGATTTCGCGTCAGTAAACAAAAGCTTCCGTGGTCTCCGCGATGCCTTGTCGAGATTACGGTCGAGATAAGGCCGCCTTATTACTAAACTGCTGCTTGCTGTCGGCTTAGAGTCGAGCCGAGCAAGCAAATCGTGGAGCCAACAACACTGCTGAAATGGGGACTCCAAAGTTGAAGAGATCCGTCTCTTGGCGGGTAAGGACAATGTTTTCTTGTTCTATTCAAGTATTTGAGAATTAATTAAGAAATCACGTTTCATTCTCTGATGTCGACTCGAAATTAATTATATCGAGTTAGTTAAATGAAATTTAAAAGTTGAATTTAAAATCGATTATTATGATACGGACGAGCAACTTGTCAACGGGCATATGTCACTGATTTTGCGTCAGTAAACAAACGTACATTGTAATCTGTTTAAAATCATTTTTTATTAAGTGGCATCTAAATTAATTTTTGAATTATAGTTTTTCAATTATTTAAATTGTATTGTAAATTGCTAGTAAATGAAAGGAGATTATTCTTCCAAGGTTGGATATAAGTTGCACTTATAGCCTCCCTCGTTTCTAAGAAACTGAGAATTGAAAAGTTTAAAGGGCAAGCGAACATTCAATAACGATTAAAGTATATAACGAGACCTGCAACTCTTGCCTCTAGCGTTTTTTGAAAGGTTAAATATATTTCAAAGCATTTTTCACGGAAATGTGGGAATGGAGCTAATAGATATGGTGTACATTTTTAAATATGCTGTACTAATACATATAGATATAGATGCCAAAGATATGCTGTACATTTTTAACACATGCATTTTACGAACATTTAAAAAAATAATAAAACTAAACATATTTTGGCCTCTTAAGGAAACCGTAAATGGAAAGAACCAATGATACCACTATTTTCATTATGAGTAATTCATTTGAGTAATTGTGAGTTTATGTCACCAATGACAAACATAAATTTGCTATGTTTTACCACACTATTACTGGGCCAAGCAAGGAACCGTGCCTAGGCACACACGCCAGGAACTTCAGACAGCGGTTTGTGGTAATAAACAATATGAAACACATTTGAAAGGGTTCTCAAATAATTTAAAACTCTTGTATCATGGAGCACAAAATATCAATGTTATAAAAACAACGGCTGTCGGATGATTAAAACATCGATGTGTCTATAAAAAAGAATGTAAAAAATCGACATCAATGACACATCCCCCATCTGCAATGGCTGTAAGTGTGAGGCAACTAGCTGGTGAAGGGGAGTGACTAATGGTGCCAAACATGGGAAGATGAGGGGGGGATGACGTCGAGTGAGAAGTCGTAAAGGGAGAACGTTAAATGAGTAAAATGAACGAAAATATCTCGAGGATTTCAAATTCAAAGTGAGTGAAATTATATTTTCAGTAAATATGTTTTTTTTAACAATATGAAACTATTTTTGGATGGGACTTTTTATTTTAGTTAATAAGTTTTCATTTACTATGGTTAATAGATTTGATTCGGAAGATAGAATTGATTGTAACAAGCCTTTTTATTTGAGGAATTTCAGAGATAATCCTGGGGTATCTTGTTTCTCTGTAAAAATAAGAGGTTTATCAAAACCAAAATTTCTATCAATTTCATTCTATGACAAGAGAGAGAGAATTAATACGAACGTAGAACTTTTTCTGTTGGTAGCGTGCTTTTATGGGCCTCCGCACCAAATATACGTTCGGATTGTTTCGCTTATATTTATGTACAATTCTGTGTTAAGTGAGTGGTGTACTCTATGGTTGACTAAGCCCAAGCAAGCAGGTTATGCGAATACTATAGTTGTGTTACGTTACTGTTAACCATTATACAAGACATTGTGATGTTGCAGCACCACCAGTGTGTTGCAGTACCACTAAATAAAGTATGGATTTACCTATTGTATGTATTTTGAAACAGACTAAATATCCAAGACAGTTTTTCGGTTTTCTTCAATTACTGAAGAAAACTTATTTCGTAGTGAATTGAAAAAAATCGTTCTGTGAGAAAGTAATCTTTTAAAACAATTCTGTTTAATGTACATGCGGGAAAAGAGAGGGGGTGCAGAGATTCATTTTTTTAAAGAAATGTCTGTAAATTTAGGCAGATCAATTTTCGCGCGAAATCCCGTCAAAATCTACTGTGCTGACACCTGGTGGTCGATTGAGAAGCAAAGAATGTTGGGCGTCACATAAAAGTTGTCTTCAAAATGCAACGCTAACATGCCAAAGTCTCGAGAAATTAAGCCATGATTGTACAACATGAAAATATCGAGTCGTTTTCATTTCCAGATGTGTGCAATGAGGTGTCCCTGGTACGATTAAAAATGTTCCTATCTGCCAGGTTGAATATAATTTTCATAAACATAACCTGAATTTGCTATTGTTTCAGACACAACCCATGATGACTACGTACATGAGACAGAAATCAACGCAAGAATTTCTCATGATGAATGGTGCTAGTTCAAAATATTTCGATCCAGGAGATGAAAACCAAAACAGTATATATCCTCCTGGAACTGTTCCTCTGGAATACCAAGTTGCAGGACATACCTTTGGTGATGGAAAATCAGAATTAGGTACCTACTTTGTTTCTTTGAAAAGTAGGCACCTTTGTACCTCAAAATACCCTTATGTTGTTACTTGATAAATATTTATCCCAATAATTCAAATGACAGATTTAGTTGGACACATTATACATCCTTTTAATTTTTCTATTCTTTCTAGTACTTTGCTAATTGTTTTCCATGTAAATAGGCTACAAATTATTTGCAAATGATTAGCTAATATTAATTGTTATAGGGCTTTTTTTGGCCTGATACCCATGCATTGGATGAATATTTTGAATAATGTTCTATCACAATGTCCAGCAGTGTTGAATGTAGATTTTTATATAGATTTTGTTTCCTTCAGATAAATGTATTTAATTTTATTAGATAATTTATCCTGTGTAAATAAAATAAAATGCTTCAAAAATTCCCAGTTGACTGAGAAGAGATAAATGATATTTTCTCTGATTTGGGATGTATGGAGAAAAAAATAAAATGAAAACCTTGTATATATGAGAAACATACGTGAAATTGGGTGATTTGATGTTGGTCTATTAGAATTTTCTGACTTGCAAAATTGCCTTTTACCTGACAATTTAATTGCAGCCTTGAATAGAAAAGAAAACAAAGTTAACTATTCATCTATATTGCAATATTCTTGTTGTCAAGTAAAGTCTTGGTATCCACTTTGTATCATGAGTTTGTACATCAAGGATTTTTTTGTCGATATTGTGTAAAAATGTGTGTACTTAAAAAAATACGTATGTAAGTAAATAATGGTGAAGGTTTGAATTAAGATATTTTGGAATTGTTATTATAGTTTATTGATGTGAGCTTGAATATGCTTGCTAAGGGAAAGTAAAGATAATTACCAGTAGGTAAAAGTAAATTTGATTCTTAATATACAATAAGACTTAATAACTCTTACTGATACTTGCTGATTATGTAACATTTCATAACACAATTCAAATATTTTTAAGTTTTTATTGGTTTTGCCTTTTACTCAGAAGAGGCACTGAAATAAATAATATATAAAGTTATATCTTTAGAATATTATATTATATTATATTATATCTTTAAATAATGTATAAAGTCATTATCTTTAAAAAAAGAAGGCACCTCCAGTATATTGATAATTTCAGATAAAAGCAAAAACAACAAAATTGAATGTTAAATAGCTAAAAGATTTGAAACAAACAGACTTTTGACTTTAGCCTTTCTTGCACTGAGAGGAGCTTTAAAGCACACATTGGCTACTATACAACTCTAAAATCATTAAAAATTGATGTTGACCTTTCTTGCATGTAGCCACAGATGTATACTATATAATACATGCCTTTTTCAGAAGCTACATTGAGTATTGAGTAGATTTTGCATTAAAAAAAAAAGTATATTTACAAGTTGTGCATTGGTTCAACATTATTATTATTTTACTTCTTCTCTTGTAACTTCATAATTTTCATCTACATCAGGAATGCTGAAAAGAAAAGATGGATTGGTGCTAAAACCCATTGAAAAACCAGTTTATGGTGAACGTGAGTTGAAATTCTACCAGGAGCTTCAGAAAGCAACAGATCCAATATCAGTTGCGTTACGAAGTTTTGTTCCTGAATTCCATGGTGCTACAGTTTTGAAGATGCAAGAGAAAGGTTTGTTTCATAATTCAATTTTTTCTCTGATCTTTCAAGTTTTTGTAGAAAATTAAGTAACAGATACATTTTTCTGTGGTTGTAGTAGTTAAAAAGAGGTATGATGTTAGGAACAGTATTTTCCCTTTCATATATATATTGCTTTAAAGAATATATAATGAGTGTTAGGAAGGAGATGAATGAGAATTAATGAGTTTTAGGTATCATTTTTACTTCTGTGATGTTTCATTTCTTTAGTTCATGTATGCCTATTTTTCAGATGTGCGGTTTATTGTCTTAAAAGATGCCACATTTGGGTTTGCAGAACCCTGTATAATGGACATAAAAATTGGGAGACAGACATGGGATCCAGAGGCTTCATTAGAAAAAATGGAAGGTGAAAGGGTAAGAAAACACTTGAAAAGATCTATTGTTTGAAGTATAAAAAAGGGTTAATCATGCTTTTTAATATAATTTTCTTTTACTTGGGGTCACTCAAAATGTATATCAAAGTCATGATGAATCTATAAAAAGAAATGCAAACATCCCTTTTATGTGTCATTCCAAATCTTAAAAAGGTAGTAAAGACTTGACAAAATTGAAACATCATATTAAAATAAGCATTCCCACACCAGACCTGCCTTACTTCATACATGAGGTCACGTTATCACAGATACTCTAAAATCATAAGTTAGTTTGGGGCAATTGGTCACCCTGTGAGTGTTTGTCACTCTTGTCTACCATATATTTTGTTGTGGAGAGTATGAAGTGCTGAATGTGTTGATGTCTAGTGTGTGAAATAAGAGCTCATTTTGTCAATAAAATCTAAATAAGGAAAACAGTTTGCTCAGTGTTGAAGTGTCATCTGATACTGCCAGCCTTACACAGGACAATAATAACGTACAAATTATACTCTGTGTGATTCAGCTTCTTGGTCTTGCAAATTACCGACCTTTATTATTTCTGTACATACATTTTTAAAAATAATATTCTGGGTAAACAAACAAGTAATTCTAAACATTTTCTCAGTATGTCTAAATTATGTTGCTGTGAAATATTCTGTGCCGGAATTATTAACAAAATGCAAACAAAAAAATTGACAATAGAAATTAAACCCAGTTACACTTACCAGTACAGTAGCTCTGTTCAAACTAGTTTTTTAAAAACTGATATTGCAGGAAATACTAATTAGAAAGTTACTTTCACTACCCAATAAAATATTGTAAGAGACCTGCAAACTACTTGATTACAAATAAATTTTTTGGATCGAGAACTTGCTTCATGCAACCAATATTGTGATGTATTTTTCCTCTAACTGAAGTGATGTCATTGTTGGTTTATAGAAAAAGTATGCAGAATGTAAACGAGATTTAGGGTTCTGCATCCCTGGATTCCAAGTTTACAGAATAGCTACAGGAAAAGTTTTGAAATTGGGAAAGGACTATGGAAAGCGTTTGAATAAAAATACTGTAAAAGACGGTAAGATGGAGAAATATTTTTTCTTGAATCTTTGAGCTAATAAAATAAATTTCATTGTTAATTATATACATTTTTTTTGTTAACTATTCTTATTTGTCAAGAAAAAAAACACTCTGTTCTTAAGCATTAATTGTTTTGATTTAATTTGTCTGTGCCCATAAAATTACTCCTTAAAAATATCGAATTTAATTCGGTTTATTATGCTTACCCTACCAATGTTAATGTGTAATTCACCTTCCATACTGTTTTAGTTCCATTTCTACCTATTGTTAAGGTTTAATGAAATCTGATGCTATGAATCTTCCAAAAATATCAGTCAAGCTTGGAAAATGAACTCTTGTTTTAGTTTGTGTAGTATATAAACAAGCATTACTTTTCTAAAATTACAATTTACCTTTCATTCAACTCTTCATTTTCAGTTAGTACAACCATTGTTATATCTGTATAAATTTATTGTTCTCTTTCTTCCAGCCTTACGTCTGTTCCTCAATGCTGAGGCTGGCCTTAGCCGGGAGCTCATGCTGCAGCTTTTGGCCTGTCTGTGGCGTATACTGTGCTGGTACCGCAGTCAACGCCGTTTTCGGTTTTACTCTAGTTCGCTTCTGTTGGTGTACGATGCCCGAAAACTCCGTCAATGTCTTCGAACAGATTTGCCCATCAGAGTGAATCACCAACGACCGTCCACTCTAAAACTGAGCGCCAGTACCGGATCATTTAATGGAGGACCCCTCAGTCCTGATCATTTGGCTTTACAAGGCCCATGCTTTGAACTTCCATCTCGAAGCTCAACATCCAGTGCGGGGAGTCTGTCACCCTCTGTTCCATCAACTCCAACGACGCCGTCAACTTATAAACCTGCAAGCTGTTTTGGCGAGGACAGTTGGCATGTGGCTTTTGAAAAGATTCGACGCACACATTCTTTCATCAACAATTATGAGAAAGATCTACAAAGCGTGAAAGAAGATTATTCATCTCAGTTAGATGACTTAATAAGTGCAGACCGACCTGGAAGCAGAGATTTTTGGGCCACAGTGAAAATGATTGATTTTGCTCATGTTTTTCCCACTCAGAATGATGAACCAGATACAAACTATTTGGATGGTTTGGAAAACCTTGTGAATATATTTGAAAGTTTAATGGAAGAAGCTGTTTAACATTAGTAACAAAAACAAACTGTTATTTGTTTTAGGGTTAAGAAAAATTACAAAAACACTCAGTAAGGACATGTACACTAACAGGATATTGTGACAACTGAGTAATGCGAACATTTTTATTGATAATTCAACAGTATTTTTTATCAGAATTTTTACATATTTACTAAGATATTTTTATATAATCTAATGAGTTCAGGAAACTTATTTAGCGAATTGAGCTTTCAGGTATATTAGAACCAGTGCTTGAATGCAGTAGGACTAGTTTCTTCTGTGATCAGTTTTTTCCTTTTGTTAATCAGAAAGAGAAATGTAGGTTCCATATCTGAAATTCATATGTTATTTGTCATGCTGGACATGGCATTGCAAAAATTGTGCAATTAAAGGAATTCTGTAAAATAATGTTTTTCACAACAGTATGGTCCTTTCCCCACCCCCCGTTCTGGGTGGACATTAATTGTTTTGTCTTATGCCAAATACAGTTCTTCAGAAGATGAAAAAGATTAATTTTGGTCCCATGTTTTCAAGCACTGATTAGAACACAGTGACTTGGTTCCTCTTCTGTTTCTTATACTACTGTAACTTAATAGCTTTTAATAGAAAGCAAATGTTAAGAGAGTATACTGGTACAGCAAAAGTGCAGTATCACTCTTATACCCTCCTGCTGGAAGAAAGCACCATCTTCAAAAAGCTGTTCTGTACAGTTCCGTTCTGTGCCTTCTATTTATTCACACAAGTCCTTTTAATGATGTTCCAAAGATACCTAAACCAAGATAAAGGTCCAAACTACAACATTGGTTTATAAGTTTACATTCCTAGTTTTCTCTCATACATGAAGGCATAATCACTCAAATGATACAATGAAGATATGTTCAGAATGCTTTTAATTAAAACTACAGTAATACTGATATGGATCACAAAGTGTAAGAATATTAGTGCAAGAACCCATAAGGGAAGGCAATCTGAATAGAACTGTACTTAACAAATGTGTTTGCAATAACTCTTCTGTGTTGGATGCACCAGGGTTGCTGACCTCAGAACACAAATATGTGCGTTATCTAGTCTTCAATTATATTAATGGTTAAGTATCATAGCTTTAGATATTTAATGTTAATTTGATGTAAATATTAACACAACAATTTACATATGTGTAAGAGGTATGATTGCTAAAACTGTTAAGATCATAATATTGCATACACACACTGTGTGTTTTATGTAACATAAAAGTATATTAAGCAGATACAATTAGTCAACAGTGTTAACATATCACACCACTAACGACATAAAACACAAGAACAAATAGTTTTGCTATCAAATCTGTGTATAATCAAGCAAAATATGGTATATAATATATAAAGATATTCAGTATTTCCCTGTATTTGTGACTAAATTTCTCCATAAAGCTGCCTAGATCTTTGGCAATTTAGGTGCGGTGACTAGAGGATTTGCCTGTTCTATCATTTTACGACCTTCACTTTTATAATCAAACGTGCAGTCATGAAGTTCAGAGTACCGATGAGCTGAACAAAAGAGCTTCTCGCAACGGCATGTGTACATGTTGGTGATATTCAGTCGTTTGCGGCACTGGGCACACCGGTGACGTATAGGTTTCTTCAAGGGAGCTTCTGGTGGGTGCGTAATGGGGGCTATCAAAGGAAGAATATCGGCTGCAGACTTTTCTGGCAAAGTGCCAGATGGAATCCGGCGTCGGGATCCCCTCTGAGGTAAAAGTCCAAATTCAGTCTCTGTTTTCAAAGGTCCACCACCTTTTGTCTCTGGAGCAATAGGAAGCAAGTGACTTCTCCGTCCAAATCTCTGCGATCTGGGTGCTCGCACCAATGAGAGATCGCCGATGGGATGCTGGAACGGAAATCCTTCATCTGGAGAGGCTTCGGTGGTGTCCTTTCTGGTACACAACAGGGATGAGTGGCCTCTCTCTCTAGTAAGGTCTGATGAAAGTTCTTCGATGGATGAACAATTGACTTTCTGTCGCCTTCTATGCCATTTAGTTTCACTCAAAAGATCACATATTTCTTGTGCCCTTTTCTGCTGTTGCGTCAGTTTGTCAGGAGAAGTTTTTGGACGGTCATCTTCCTCCAATAAGAAACGTGACACCCTGTACCTTCCTCCACTACCAACTGATGTACTCATTCGTTCTCGGGTGATGGATGACATAGCAAATGTTGTGGCCTCGGTAGATGGTATGGGGACAGGTATGGAATTTGGTGTAGGTGCAAGGTCAGGTTCCACTTTATCTACAGCAGAATCTGTTTCTGATTCTACTATGGCTATTTTGGAAGTAGACAGAATACCAGAACCCTTACTATTATTGCTGGTGTTACTTTCAGAGCTATCTGCAGGTTCTGCTGGAGGGTTTGATCTATACACATTGCGACTGGCCCCATATTCTACACATTCTTCAGGTTTGGCATCCATAATTTGAGAAGCAGTAAGACGAGACCTCCTTCGGCCAGCAGGGCGTTTAGGGGGAGAGGGTGCAATAGAGGGAATGCGGCGTGGAAGTACTATGGTTTCTTTAGAATCTTTCCTGGCGGTACGAAGAGGCTGGCGTGTAAGAACTGAGTTATTGTCAAGTTTCCCTGGAATCTTGCCTTCAGTGTCTCTACTTCTACGGGGCAGTGACTGTGTTAGGAATGAGCTGGTGCCAAGGTAACTACTTGATATCGCGCGTTGCCTGCTAGGGACAGTGGTAGTCTGTGCTTTACGGATGGGTGGCAGATGTATACACTCAGCCTGTGCCTTTGTGAGGGAAGGATCCTTTGGCTCAGCTGCTGAAGAGAGATGATTTGTTGCTACTCGTACTGTCGCTTTTCGAGAATGAAGAAGTGGCCGCTTTGCTGACAAGACGCGAGGTGCATTCTTCTTAGGCTAGGGGCAAAAACCAAGGCAGATGAAAAGGAAATCTTCATTCAATTGAGTTTAGTTCTAAGCTTTCCAAAGTGCAGGTGATTTGTATTCATTAGCAATACTGAATAATATTTACTCCAAGATCTCATTCTTACTTTTAATTAATGATAATTTAATAGAAAAATACATAGTGAAGCATTAAGTAACTTAAAAAATTTGTGCTTAGGGGGAAAAAATCTGATGAATAAGTAAGATTTTTCTGTATTTTTGTTGCTTGTATTTCATTGTTAACTGGTATTCAAAATATACTTTTAAACAATACTTTCATTTTGGATTTTCAGCTACTGTTCTGAATTAATACAAATGATTCAGATACCTGGGAGCAATAAAACTAGCCAATTTGACTTTTTTATGGCACCTCACACATGTTGAAAGTGACTGAACGGGTATTACCTTCCTTCTCAAAGCCAGTGCCTCCATTCGGTTTCTCAGCTCTTGCATCTTACTCATCGTGACAGAATTCTCCTGTATTCTTTTGGCCGATTCCTCTGGATCATCCTCAGCAAAGAGGCTTCTGTAAGTAACAGTCAATTAACATCCTGTGATAGGGACAGTTGTAGATATTTAATTTTAAGTGTGGGATCAGTCAATGAATCTATGTTAAATACTAATTTTTCAAGTAAGAAGGTAGAGACTATATATTTTTTTTAATTCATGAATCAATTTTTGTGCAATTGCCCAACACTACTTAACACTTATGCTTTAATTTTCTTCTTACAAACTGTAAAAAAATAATAAGACTTGGGATCTGCCACTGAATGAAGTCAATGAATAAAGAAGTGTTTACTTTAGCAAAGATGCTCCTACATCTAGGAAAGTACTCTGAATGTTTAACGAAAATTTGTGAAATTAAATGATTATTGTCAGATATTTCTCAAGGTGGCAATATGCATTTACATTAATCATAAAGCAATATTATATTAACAGAATGGGAAATTCTGTAAATTGTAAGAGGGTACTTAACAAATTAAAAATCATTATGGGACATGCAGATGGAATCAGGTTTCCTTGAAATTCCATAATTGGGAGAAAAGTTGCATGCATCATATCATGAAACTGAATATGTAAGAACTACATGATCAACATCTATAACTGTAAGAAACACAAAATGTTAACTTTGAGCAGTGGTATTCTTAATTTTATGTGAGTAAATTTTTCTCAAAAACATTATTCATTTGAAGGATTTTGACATACATTTCTGTATCAGCATTCTTGGAGGAAAAACAAAAACAACAACCACAAGCAGCATCATTAATTTTTTCTCTGCACCAATACTTTCATGTTCATCTTTCTCAAAAACGCAGAAAGAGGAGGGACAAATCAGGGTTGTCTGCTGAATTTTCTATGAATCTCTCACCAGATTTACATAAACAAAAGTAGTCTTCTAAAACTTTAAGGGAGAATCTTTGCGGCGGCGGTGGTGTAACGGTTAGCATACTGGATTGTTGTACCCAAGTTGGCGGGTTCAAACCCGATCGAAGCCGTGGATTTTTAAGGGCGAAAAAATCCTTCATACGCCTTCCTTCGGAAGGGAAGTAAAGCCGGCTGTCCCATGTTCGTACATTTATTTGCATGTAAAAGATCCTCAAGCCTAAATGACGCCTCTGAGCTAAATTCAAATCGCCTGTTTCTCGCCCAAGAAATTCCTCCTTTCTCTTCTAGTTCATGAAAGGAGCGTAGCGAAATTTGCGTGGTCAGACAGAAGAGCGGGCCTGATGGCCCGAGTCTCGCCACGTAAAATAAGGCAAATTCAATTCAATTCAATCTTCAGTTTCATTACATGTAATGAATATCTCAGTGATAGCACTTAGACTTGGTTAATCTTCTCTGGGGATGACAAAATAAAAAAAGGACAAATATTTATTAATGCTTTCTCTTTCCTTTAGCACATTACTAGTACCAGGAATGAATTTATTGTAATATTTTTAATATTTGCATTTCTGCAAAAACTCTTGGAGCAGTATCGCAACTAATTGCACACATTTAATCACTATAGCTTGTAATATCATCAATTCAATGAAGTTTTGAATACTAAAAAGTCATGAGTAGTTTCTAGCAACAAAAAACCCAATCAAACAAACTGATGTAACACAAAAACATCATTCTTTAGTAGTTTTAAAACTGTTTCCTGAACATTAAGATCCCTCTGAAAATATTTTTTAATGGTTCTCACACTACTGAATCTCAAGGAATAATTTTTGCTTACTGTATTGATGAACCACTAAGAGATTCAGAGAGTGGTGAGTATGTTCCATCTTCATTTTCCAAAACTCGGAAGAGATTCACCTGATCTCCATCGCGAAACACCAAAACAGTTACCCGACATCCAGGTGGTATATGGTCAAGCACATCATCTCTGGAAACAAGATTGTGACATGTATAAAAACAAAATTACTTAAGAAAGTTTACACAAGAACATTCACAGAGTAATTTAAATTATATACTCTCATCGAAAAGTAATGATGCTTTTTGATCACATATGACTCAGCCATCAGGTGAAGTATTAATAAGTTAGGCTATTAACAACTACAATGATTGTTTTATTTCTAATGAATTGAGATTAGAAACAATCTTTTCTTCAGATTTCCCCAAAACTTTTTACAGATATCAAAACAATTTGGGAGTTTCAAATTATATCATGTTCCAGAAAAATTATGGAAGTCTAAATATAACATGAGAGAATTTGAAGAAATTTTGCAAACTAGTTTTTTTAATTGAAAGTAATTAACTCGAGAATTCAATAGTGTATTAAACAATTTTTGGTTGAACAAATACTCAAAAAGCATTTGACATAAAAAAAAATTGCCTTTCTAGTTAAGTTACAATTGTATTATTTTCATTTTTTTTTAGATGTAATGTAACAATTCTAAAAGTGTATTTCCTTTTGAATCTATAAAAACGCAGGGCACAAGATAAATTTTGCAAAGTGTCCAAGATTGAAGAACATAACTTAATTTGCTTTTATCACAGACCTTCCATTTTCCATGAATTCACGTAATTCTTTCCAAGTGAATTCTTCACCAGTGTGTACTCGTCTAGTGCTAATGGGTCCTCCTCGCATAGACAGCACAAGTTTAAGTGTAGCACCATTTTGAATAGAGTGATCTATTAATGATGATGAATCATCCAGTTCTTGTAAATTATACAGTAAGTGTTGGTGTGATATAGGTATTCCTGTTGAAAATTATCACTGTAAATCATGAACAGATAATATATCTCAGAAAATCAGTAGAGTAAATTACGTGTTACCTTCAACTCTTTGAATTTTTGATTTAATAGATATGATAGTGTCAAAAGGTGACACTGTCATCTCAAATGCTGTTCCTGTAAGGGTTTCAATAAATAGATCCATAGTCCCCTCTGGACGTAAGGAAGACTGGAACGTCTCTTGGAGGCCATTCTGCGACATTATACATTTAAAAACGAAGATAAAACGTTACATAAGTAAAGATGGCCAAGGTGGAGCAGAGAAACAGGGCACTATGTAGTCGAATAAAGATAAGATGTTGATGTTATAAGCTTTTGTATGCTTCTGTCCCTTCAGGTACAACATTTCTGACAACACATAACAGCTGTCACAACCAAAACACTAGGTACGAAGCCTTCGTTTATCTTTCAAGAAATATACTGTCTTCACAATCCCAATTATAATTGCACATTAATTAACTGTGTCACGGAAATATAAGACTAAATCCGCAACATCACACATACACACGTAAACTGATCATTTTGTACAACATGTAAACAACGAATTTAGATTTTGCAAAACACGGAAAATAATCTAAATTCGTCCGGTGTTGCTCACAAATATACTCTTGTCGTTGTCACAATTTCGTTGTCAAGATTTCTGAGGAATGTACCTACTGTTGCCAACTTTCCACGTTTCCAACAAATGTAAGAACCCTTCATATTTGCCGAGCAAGAAGATACACCAGTTTAAATTACAGTCGTCTTTATAAAATCAGCTACAATGAAGATGGTCGAAAAGTTTGGAAAGCACAAACAGAGTCATTGTTTATAAAACAAAACATTGAGTGTTTTGTAGATGTGACAGTAGTGCTAATCAAGTGCTTTCAAGGTTTCCACCAGAGAGCTCCGGCGGGGACTATGATTTCATTGTGACATAAACAGTGATGCTTTGACGTGTAAAGAAGTCTATTTTTCTCTTGACCTGTACTGACCTTGACTTCGACTTCAAAGATTCATGCAAATATCAACCAGTAAGTTATTGAAAAAATGTGTTTTAAACTTTTTTTTCGAAATTATGGATAAAACACAGCGTAATTGATGCAAAAGTTCCCTGTGGTCACCTACCACGTGTCCGAACAGGAACAAATCCTTGTCGTTTAGATTATATGTTCGTGGTAAACGTAAGATAATCGCGAGATAAGAACCTGCTAATGCTTATTTCTTATTAACAGTAATTGTTAGTACCTTGCAGCCCAACAGAAAGAAACAAAAACGGTATTGAAGTCTGCTCATTTTGGGATGTTGAATAAATTATTTGATATTGTATTAAATAGGAATTATAACCTATCAGTTTTTTACTGTAATTATAATTATTTAGCATTATACAAAATGTGATTAAGTATTTGACGCAAGGTATAAAAATGATTTTGACCACTTGGGCCTAATCTCACAATTTACCACGATGAGAGAAAAATAGAAAATGAGAAAGTGAAAGAAAGTATGTTATTTTCAGAATAGATAGATATAAGAATTTATACTGAGGAAATACGACCTTAATGTGAATTGAACAAAACTCTCTGATGTTGCTGTTAGTCTTAAGCTTAGATTATGATCAAATGTGTGAATATCAAGTTTCATTGGTGTATATTCTTCTTTGAACAAGCCTTTAGGCAAGGGTACTTAAAAGGAAAAATGGAGCAAAAATGTTGATTTTTGAATTTTTTGAAGAACACATTGGTGTATAGTTTCCACTTTAAAATGACATTTGTTTTATCTTAACCTGACAATTTTTATTATTTTGAAATTTCAAATGTTTGCTGTAATCCATTAACGAGACTTAGCCCTATTGCTTACTCTTCTCATATTTTCCTGTTTATTTGCTTTAGGCCTATAGATACTTAATTATGATCAATTATGGAGCAACTTTGTGAACTAGAACAGTTGAGACAATTGCTTGGCATTTATCATGCAGTTGCTACATACAATGGAAGTTCTGTGACAAAATGTGAAGTATTCTAAAGATTAAGGATTTATAGACTGAGGTTCGCACACAATCAAGGTGTTGAAATGAAATAGACCGAAAGTAAAGAACAAAGGCAGAAGCATCAGCAAAAAACTTTCAAATGACACAACAAAGTAAGTGCTAGATTAGAAAGTTACAAGATGCAAAGGAAGAAATTCCTATCAATTCAATGTAGCCTACTATAACATGTAGGAGTGCAATAGACATTATAGTGCTTCATTTCCTGCAAGTTGGAAATGTGAATATAAAACCAAAATTTTCTGAAGATCTGTTAAGCTGGTCTCATCGTCACCAAATTCTTGCATATAATATTATACATGTATATATATATATATATACTTTAATGGGAGAGTTTCTAAATATATTTATTTTCTATTAAAACAAAAAAATAATACAATTTTTGGATTCAACTTTCATTCATGAAAGAAAAAAATAATTAACCAATAAAGGTTTGCAAAAATCTTTTAGTAAAGTTTATAACTAAAGTCAGATAATTTGAGAAAAAAAATTTCAAAAAGATTGCTTCAAAAGTACTTCAAAGAATATGCTGTTTTACAAGGAGAGATATATATATTTTACAGATGCCCTTAAGAATTTCTGCCACTCGTGAATAATAATTGTTGAACTAATTATTGTAAATGAGTTTGAAGGTATACTTGGTAGATTGTCATTACCTTCCATGCTATAGACTTAATATGAAATCATTTGTGTCTTAATGGAATTTGAATCCAGAAGCATATATAGGTAAACTGCTGCCAAAAACAATTTGCCTCCTTATCTCAATATATCTTCAAATCAGCGTAATTTCTTGTTTTAACAAACGTGTACATTAACAGAAAAATCATTTACAATCTTTTGAAAGAAATTACAATTTATTTTATGCTGTGAATACAATGAAAGGAATAAGGAATGAAGTGAAGAAATAAGATTTTCCTGATTTGATTTCCATTTTCCTCAGCACTTCTTTTGTAAGAACATGCTAAAAAATTGTACAGTACACCAGTTATAAGTTTGATATTTATATTAATTTTACTAAAACATTATAAGTTTATAAAATTCTTTTCTGGCTAAAGAGTTTATTTTCATAATAAAAAAACTATTTTTTATTTAACTGAGGTAAATATTTTTTTATACCTAATGTAAGTAGTGATCATTGTACATTTTGTGACTAACATAATCTTATACTGCAACTGTTTGAATCCGCAGCCTGTTCCATTTGTTAGCTGCTGAATATTATCATTGTTAAAACAGTATTTCATTAAAAAAAGGAATGCTACTTTGTAGGCTGAAGGAATAAGGCAATGACTGACTGCAATCGTGACTAACATAATGGAGAATTACTTCACTTTTAATGCCAGTGAATGGTTAAGAGAACGTTATTATGAAAAGTCTTTGGTGTGTAATAATAAGCAGTAATTGCTGATAAATTATGTGGATATTAATTAGGCCCAATGTATAAAACAAGTTGTTTTATTTTCTGCCTTTGAAAGTTTAATTTCGAGAGATGGTAGTGAATGGCAGTTTCTATTTTAAGGTTGTTTAAGAATTTCAATCTCATCAACTGTTTCTATGGCTTTTCACATGATATTTTACTTTAATTTTAAACCTTCATGCTTTAGAAATGGTTGCTTCAAATTCATATTCTCTTGATGAAAGAATTCTTTTTAAATATTTTCCCCCTGAATATACTTAAATCTCAAAGTCTCCATAATATTTTATGCAAGGCAGAAGTACTAAATAGTGGAATTTAAAATCAGAGACATAAAATGAGCTCTTCTTGTGACAATGTTATAATGTGAAAGACAGAAAAACATAAGTCGCAGTTTTCTGTTTATTCATCACCATAAAATTGACCTCTAAAGAATGGAATTAAACTGGATATCTATTGAATCACAGTGGCATAAAACTTTTTTCTGAAACAACAGTGGTTTAAGCAGTCTAAGGTCTTTAAGTTTGGGGTAGCAAAAGAAGCTTTCAGTAAGAAAAAGATAATGCCACGCAGTAAGAGCTGTGATTTGGATGAAGAGAAAGAGAGAGAAGTACCGATAGCATTGAAATGTAATCTCTCTAGGCACCCCTAAGTATGTTCAAATTATGGAGCACCGTAATAATTTTTAGGTATTTTATATGCATCATTAAAAAGTATATTAACACAAACTATAACCCTTCCATTACTATTTTAATAATTGTCTATCATACTTTTATGGATAAAAATATTCCAATTGTAATGATCTTGTCTAAAACGAATTGGAATCTTTTTATCAATAAACTCTAACCTTTCCAATTGATAATTTTAATATTAAAATTATTTATTATTAAATTTAATATTGATATTAAAAAATCCCCTTCTCAGCCAAGATCAGTCAGCAGCAGTACACCTAATTATGCTTCTGGGTTCAAAGCTTTAGTTCTTTACTGAATTAAAGCTTTCAAAAAGTGAAAAAGAAAAGCAGCAAGAAAATAAGGGGCCAGACAAAATAACGAATAAAAATGTGCTGAAAGGGATACAAAAGAAATGAAGAGTTATGAAATGATACTCAAAATAGGAAGAAATCTGTCCAGATCATATAATGAAGAGATCACAATTTAGCGAACACTGCGAGAAATGTGAAGACAGAGAAGGTCAAAGTTGAAAAGAAATGTTAAAATCGTAGAATTAAGATATATGCTAAGGGATATAAAAAAAAATGTTATAAAAGCAATGCCCAAAAAAGGAAGGGAAACTGATAGGTCATGAAATTAGGAAAAGGGCAACCACAATTTGGGAAGCAGTTGAAGAAAGAAGAAGACTGAGACTGGTGAATGAAGTTGCTGAGCTTCAAAAAGACAAAAGAGATGTCTGAAACACAAGCAAGTAGAGACTGAGACACAATCATATATGGGACCTGCCATCCAGTAGAGCAAGTAATGATGATATATGGGTTTTATTGTTTAAAAATTAATACAAATTGTCAAAAATGACAACAAAATATTATTTTATATTTTCATTTTGATCTTTATTTTACCAGTCCAATTAATTTATTTCATCAATAATGGGAAGAAAAATATAGTGAACCACAATACCATTTGTTAACTTTTTCCAGTTTTCCTTCAATATTATCACTATTTATGGGTTTTCTGAACTAATGGAATTATTTGTATGTATTTAAGTTTTCAGTATGTTGGGTAGTGTCTCCTAATCTACATGGCAAAACAATATTACAGTGAGGTGCAATGTTGATGAAATATTAATACAATGTTACCGTAAGTATTGTGTTACAATGTGATAAGATACTTCACGTGAGATATTGAATAGAAAGTCAGACTTTAATTCCTGTATTTTATTATTTTGATGTGTGATTGTTGGTAGACCTTTGGAATCAAGGGATTGTAATGTTTTTTATCCACATGGTTTTTAAGGGCAAGATGGGATGCCAAGAGTTAAAGGGCAAAATGGCAGAAATTTATATTTTTTGTTCACTCATAAATTAACTCCTGTTTGTGTGTGGCCAGTTCCCATTTATCTGAGTATCTTTTATGAATTGGTAGATGACTGAATTTTGTGAGTAAGTCTCAAGAATTTGTGCAGATATATTGAATGTGAATTTTATAAACACATGTGAAAAAATAAAAGTTATTCTGTTAATATTGTGTTAACTTTCCATTAGATTTTATTTTAGGTATATCAAAGAAGTTGTATCAAATTGTTGTCTTAATTACTAGCTCTACTTTTCTTAGACTGAATTATTAATTTATAAGAGTTTATATACCTATCAAGATTGTGGTATTATATCCTACAGCAATATTTTTGATATGACTATATAAAAAAACATTAAAGTTTTTAATTTAAAAACAAATAAACAAAGTGTCTAAGTT